AAGGTTGATTATCGTGTTCGCAAAAGCCTGACACTAGAATCTATTATGAGCTAGATTAACCCAATCCTAATCCACAAACGCTGTTCTTTAAAATCCCATTTAAATACCGTCCTCATACCTATTCCTAGGCCTCTAATATTATTTTTATAATAGTATAATAATAATAATAATATTATTATTATTATTAAAGCACCCGTCAATAATTCAACAATATTTTAAAATATAAAAGATATCTAGAATATGTAAGATTTGAGGCTTTCACGGCGGTAACTATGAAGAAAGCAGTCTTCTGGGATTTGGCACCGTGTATATGTGGGGTTAACCGACGTTTCGGAGGAACGTATCGCCTCAATCTTCAGGGTAGAAGGAAAAATATAAGAAATCCGCAAGCGAAGAGACCGTGAGAACCGGTAAAAGCAGACTGGACTGCTTCTACCCTGAAGATGGAGGCGATACGTTCCTCCGAAACGTCGGTTAACACCACATATACACGGCGCCAAATCCCAGAAGACTGCTTTCTTCATATCTAGCATATGTTTCTCACTAAAAGTGTATCTTTAATACTTTATGATGTTAAAATCATAAAATGTCATTAATACGCTAAAAGTATAACTTATACACTAAAAGTGATTATCAGATTACTAAAAAAAGCCGAAAAGGTATACAACGACAGCATTCTAGCCATGAAACAAAAACTAAACAACGACATGCACGGAAGCATGATGGACAAGTGAACAGTACACTGGTCTGTCTGAAAACAAAAGGAAAAATTGCCTGATGATGGCCCATGTGCGGCCGAAACATGTTGTAAAGATAAGAAACATATGAAAAACTAGAGACACTCAATGACGTGACAATATTATAATGTTGTCTTTCATTTTGGTGACAAGACACCGAAAAAAAATTCTGAAGTGTGCTTCGATATGCAATTGTGTTTAACAAGACATAATATCTTCCAAACAATATATAAAAATCAAGTTCATGCATCATAGGAAACATATTACGACTCCACAACAAAGCCAAACTAGTTAATCTTGTAGTTACTATAGGATTCTGACGATGGTGTATATCACACGGATATATTTTTCTTATTAGCTCTCATGGACTTAGCCTGGTCTTAGGTGTTTATAATCTTCATGTTTTCTGACATCGGTTTGTCCAGTGATTTAGGCTAGCTCTTTCTAACGGACCCAACAGAATAGGTGTTTTCCTTCACCTGAGGACGAAAACAAATCCAGTTTCCGAAACGTCGTGTTTTATTAGTTATCTTAAAAAACCAGGACGATGGATAAAGTCCAAAAACCCAATATATCAGTACGACTAGTTAATCTTGTTTGGAGAAACAACATTAAGTAGTTTGGCTTTGTTGCAGAGACTAATATGTTTCCTATGATGCATGAACAGTAAACAGAACTATACGAAATACACAGTTTTCGAACGTTAAAGCAGGTGGTATATATAGTTACCGCCGGACGTTAAAGGGTTAGCGCGATGTATCTCAAAGCAAATATGATACAGGCCTTGGCGTTAATGGCCGAGATCAAACTTCATATTTTGCCATTATTTCTTGTACGTCCCGAAAATTCAAAATTCATCATTAAGTGACAAGAGTTGAAAGCATGACACATCGATCTGACGAGTCCATCAGGCATTCGATTTATGTGTATGGGCATAGTATACTTAAAGCTAAGCCCTAATTATGAGAAAAGAGAGAAAATTACATAACGAGAGGCTTGTGTATTTTACGCGTATAGGTTTATAGACTTAGATCGGGTGAATATATCAAAAACGCATACAGAATTCTGATATGGATATCTTTTGCAGACGATCACCCGGAAGAAACATGATAAAATTATGTATTTTATGAAAATATGTTATACAGATTTGGTTGAGCTAACAGAGCGATAACGAACATTCGAACACGAAATAAACTCCTTTTCTTACGAAACTGCACTTTTCATGTTGTTAATCATAAGGCAGTCATTAACGCGATGAGTTAATTAGGAGGGTAGGTAGCTGCTATGCATGACCATTACAGTTTAAACGTGTAAAATGCAAACTTGCATGCACGCGATAATTGTTGAGCAGGCTAATTTACGCTTCTCTGCTAGAATGAGTGCATATCAAGGCCTACAAACAGGCGCTGCTGCTATGCGCAAGATGAGAATACTAATAAATATAATGTCACGTGATTGAGTGTGACTATAGACGGAGTTTGAATTGGTAATTGGATTTATTGGATGCTCGCAGATCATAACTACAAGTAACTATAGCGCTATCGCTAATTCACTACAGCACGCACTAAGTCTTCTCAGCCTACTGTCTCTTCTCCAATATTCTGGTAACGGCTTCAAACGGCGGACGTTCCCCTTCCTCTGGGTTCCCGAAATGTCCCCGTGCCTCAGCTACCAGCTTCTAACAGCAACAGCTCACAACGACTGAACCACATCAGTCCTCTACCTAATAAACCAACTCACTCCAATCCACTAAATTCCAGACTGGCGGCCATTCACACCAACCTCCTACTTTTCTCACTGCCGTCTCAAGACTCTCTTCTAATGGCAGATGGCCCTTGTTATCTAACCTCGGCCCGGACCTCACAGAGAACACTGTTTCCAACAGTTCTTGCATTCTGGCATCACGTAGCTATAGTACGGACCGCGTTGAGAAACCCCGCTTCCATCAGCTTTTCTTTTGCTGAGTGTGTGTCTATTGAGACCATTATCTAGAAACGCCATTTTTCACAGAGCCATTACTTAGCAACGGCTATTGTATAGCTGCTTGTTTCGTGGTTGTTGCCTAGCAACGGGTTTACATGCCACATTAACAATGTTTATGACGAAGATGATGATAATGACGACGATGATGATGGTGATACCACTACTAACGAAGGAAATTCCATATCAGACACCTAGAGCAGCTAAAGAATACCTACAGTAAAACAAAAAAATAAAGGAAAAGAAACAACTGCCAAATAACATGTAAATTTTCAGTGCGTTATAGTATAAACATCATGTCAAACTAGAGATTCTTCTCCAACTGTAGTTCTGGGGATGTTATTAAAAACAGCCAGTTTTCAACAGAGAATTTCCTGAGTAATCATTACTAGTTTCCTGTTCACTAAGATAATTTGTATACGTAATACGAAGAATCATCATCATCATCATGCCACTAGATCACTTCCTAAACCAATTCAGAATATTTCACATTTTCCAGCAACATTAGCCTTTTAACACTACATTCTCATCTTTTCGTAGCCTCCCATTAAGTTCATGTAACAGTTTCCAGTTTTCGTTTCCGTACTGAACCTCCGGCATATCCTAACACTGTCGATTTAATAACCCTAATCGTACTCGACCAAAAATACAAACCATAAAACTATAAAAAAAGTAAAGGTATCCCTGTAACAGGCCGTGGAGGTCCATAAGGTTGTGAGATGTTGAGGTTCCCACATTTTCTAGACAATTGGCTCACAGATGGCGGTAAGGTTGTCAGCCTTATGCACCGGCCGCCCTTTAACCCAAAGAATATCCCTGGTACTCATTTCTGTTAGGGGGCCACGCGGTAGCGTAGTTGGTTGAGGCACTATGCTACAAGCCGGAAGGTCGCGTGTTCAAGTCCCTATTAGGTCACTGGATTTTTTTTCAATTGACCTAATCCTTCTAGCCGCACTATGGTCCTGGGGTCGACTCAGTCTCTAACAGAAATGAGTACCAGGAATATTTTTGGAATATTCTTGGGGGAAAAGGGCGGCCGGCGCGTAGGGCTGACAACCTTACCGCCACCTATGTGCCGATTGTCTAGGAAATGTGGGAACTTCAACATATCACAACCTTATGGACCTCCACGGTCTGTTACAGGGATATCTTTACTTTTTTTTATTTTACTCGTTTCTGTTAGAGGCTGCCCCAGGGCTATAGTGAGGCTGGAAGGATTAGGTAAAGTGAAAAAAAAAATTCACTTCATCGGGATTCGATCCGGCGACCTTCCAGCTTGTACAATAGTGCCTCAACCAATTATGCTACCACTTTCATTTTTAAATACGTCTCGCCTTTGTACTTCCGTCGATGTAAGCAACTGAATGTCGAGGACATACAAAAAAAGATAAGTTTCAATACAGGCTTACTTTAATATTCCTTTTTTTTTCTGGCCAGAAGTTGAGAGGATAAAAGACTGTCAACCAGATAATCCCTGAATTTATTCCTGTCAAAATTTAACACTAAATATCATTTTTATTCCCCACTGCCTGTCCAAATACTTAAAAGCCATAATACAGCTACACACACAGTGGATTTGTGTTACTCGGAAATGCTATATTATGACATAAAATCCTAAATCGCAACATACAGAACTTAGGATTTCTCGCCGGGCATACAGGCAGATTGCTCACGTCTAAGTGAACAGAAGGCGGATTTCAAATGTAACTAACGTCCTATCTTTCATGAGAGCTGAATAACAGATACCGCTATCTGGAAGTTCCAAAAAGATGGGGGAGAATTTCAATAAGAAAATATGTGATACGAAAAGATTACATCTCAAGAATCTTGACAAGTGTGAGATAAAGAAAAGTATCATGTGGCAATCTCAATATGTCTCCAGCTTTGAGAAAATTCGATAACAATGTGGAGATGAACTGATATTGGAAAAGAAAGGTAAAAAGGTAAAGTTGTCCCTGTGCTTAAGGTACATTTGTGAAATTTGGGGAAAAGTTATGAAAAATCACAAATTTTGATTTTTGTATAATAAAATAGTTCTATCTTGTTATTTAGTAAAACGAAAGTTATTTTGGCCTCGAGCCATTTAAATGGACCCTAGGTGGCAATTTAAATGTCCCTGCGCACGTGTTTCAGCTGCCACGCCCCCATGGTTTTCCTGGACATATTTCAACAGTACGCCACACATTTAGCAATTTGAATTTTGCGCATCTTCTGTACCATAGTGAACTTTAATGTTGTGGCCAACCTGTAAATATTCAGAGAGAAACGTTTGCGCATCAATTGCGCACATATACTGTTAGTTTCGTTGTGTTATTATGTTTTAGTTGTTGAGAATCATGGTTTTGTTGTTGTGGATAGGAGTGCTGTGTATTTTTGTCTGTGTTATATTCTTTTTAATAGTTCATTCAGTTTTATTTAGTTATTTAGGTTAATAGTATTATTTAAAATACGTTAGGCAGAGTTTTTCTATAATTCAGTGTAGGTTAGGTTAGTGTTCACTTTATTTTCAAGTGTACATAGTATATACAGCATGAATATGTTGCCAGATAAAAAGGCTAAAAGGAATGATACCAACCAAAAGAAGTTTGTTGGCTAAAAATTTAGTAGCCAAGAGATTGAAGAAACAACAACAAACGGAAATGTCTTCAGAAGTATGTGAAAGAAACGAAAGTGCTTCGATAGAGAATTTCTCTCCAGCATCATCTTCCCAGGCATGTGCATCCCAGACAGCATCATGTTCCCAGGTATGTGCATCCAAGACAAAGCTATCTTTTTTCTCTAACAAAAGAATTGATGCTGCCCAAGACAGTGAGTATCTGAATAGTATTCCTAATTCTGAATATGTATTAGCCATTCCAGTTTTTGGCAGCAAATATGTAAAGGAGTAAAATGTGGCACTTGTGGGGGAAGTGATGTGAAAATAGAATGTTCTCAATTCATGGGTTTTGCAGCTAAAGTAGTCTGTAAAATGTACAGCTTGCTACATTAGCTGCTGTGAAAATTATACCAGTCCCAGGGTTGAATGTACCGAATCAAGTCGACCTCCATTTGAATTGGAACTGCAAAATGGTTAACACTTTTTTATCCTTAGGTAAGGGTCATGCTGGAATGGAAAAATTCTGCAAGGGCATGGGCATGCCACTAATCAGTGCTTCCTCTTACAGTGCCCATTTCCTGCAAACAGCAAAAGATCACAGTGTTGCTGCAGGAGGCGCAGACTTCTGTTCACCAGTCTTATATTGCCACTGATCCAAGCCTGAGTGAGGATGACATTATTGACATTACAGTCTCCTATGATGGCACTTGGCAAAAAAGGGTGTTTTCCTCCCTATATGGCATAGGGGCAGTAATAGATGTGCTGACAGGGCTAGTCATAGACTTTGAAGTAATGTCTAAATACTGTGACATTTGTGTTCAACAACAGAACACACTGAATTCCGTAGACTATGCAAGCTGGCACAAAGCACATAAAGAAAGTGAGAAATGTGAAATGAAGTTCTGCAGATCATCAAGTGCCATGGAAATGGTCACAGCAGAGATACTGTGGAAACAGTCAGTAGACTCATGAAAGCTACACTACACAACTATGGTATCAGATGGTGACACCAAAACACACAAGCATCTCCAGGATTTGGCTGTCTGTGTAAGTAAAGACATAGAGAAAGTTGAGTGTATGAACCATGAGGCCAAGAGGTTGGGAACAGGAATAAGAAATCTAGTAAAAGAGAAGAGCAAAATGGGTATTACGCTTGGTGGGAAGAAACGTGGGAGCTTGAAAGAGAGCACGATAGTGGATCTCACTGAATATTACCATAAAGTCAACAAGCGTAATATTCCTAATGTTCAACAAATGAAGACTGCAGTATATGCTACTCTGTACCACTGCATGTCTACTGACCAAAATCCTAGGTGGTGAGATCTCCTGGTGTTTTTATAATAGAGCTGTTGCTAAAGGAGAGCCAGTTCCTTCGCACGACAGCTCTACCATTAAAACTCCACTAAATGTTGAAGTGGTAATGAAACTGATTCCATTATACAAGAGATTGGCTAATGAGGAATTCCTGAAAAGGTGCATGCATACCTGGGAAGACTCAAAATGACAATGAGGCATTACATAGTCTTGTTTGGACTGAAAGTCAAAAAGACATATTTGGTTCTAAAAAAATTGACGTTGGGGTCACTAATGTAGTGAGTGAGTTCAATATGGGCTGCATAGCATCCAGAAACAGAGAGGGAGCAACAAAATCGAAGTTCACCCCTGCAGCTGAGGAAATAGGCAGAGTAAGGCTTGACCGTCGTCTCAAGCAGAGCACACATTGTAGTTAACAGGGCTCAAAATCTGCCAGAAAGAAGCTGAGGTTGTCCAAAGTAGCTGCAGAGGAGTAGAAGGTGAAAGAGGGTCCCACATATGGATCTGGTCAATTTTAATTGGATCTCAGGTCAGAAAACAAAGATATTTTTTAACAAAATTTTAAAATGGATTTTTCAACATTTTCACAATTTCAAAAAGTTCCACATGATGCAGCTTTTTACCAATCTGTATAAAATTTTACACATAGGCTTCCTATTTGCGTATGAACAAAATGATCATATTACTTTCCTTTTGTTGCACTTCATTGATTTGGGAAATAAAATTAAAAACAAAAGAAAAAATTAATTAAAATTTACTACTACAGAAGTTAATATTTTTTTCTCAGTAGTTAAGAAGGCAATAAAAAAATAATATGATGTTTTAATTTGTTTAGAATAAGCACAGAAATCCATATTTCATGACTCAATTTTAAAAAGTGCATCANAAATGGAAAGCGGGGGGGGGGGCATTTTATTTTGCGCATTAATATAAAATATTAAAAAATAATATTTCGGAAACTATTAAAGCTAGAAATGTGAAAATTTGTATTGTAGGTTATATTTGCATGCTAAATAACTGGTATAAATTTCAAACAAAGCCAATGAAAAATGTGGATTTTTCAATTTTCACAGATGCATTACCTTACGTAGTTAAGCACTACGAAATCAAGGCGTGTGAGGGAGTGGTTGTATAGACCCATGTTTTCTTGGCCTCAGCACTAGTTGGAGGTGAGTGGTCAGCTGCACGTCCCGGCCGTTTTACCCCCTGGGAAAGAGACCCCGGTACCCACTGGATAGGAGGCTTGGTGGACCCTAGAGCCTGTCTGAACGACATGAAGAAGTGAAAATTCTTGCCCCCATCGGAACTCGAACCCCGACCTCTTGGTTGTCCAGCCCGTAGCTAGTCGCTATACTGCCTGAGCTACCCCTGCTCCATCTTGGAAGTCTACTGGAGAAAATATGAAACACTAGCCAAACACAGTGTGGTACACAGACCCGTTGCTGAGCAGAGACCTCGAAACAGACGAGTACAACCTTTGTTATGCAATAGGCGGATAAACAAACTGCCGTTTCTGAACAGGGGTTAGGTAAACACGTTCCCGCGGAAACCATAACGGAGATGTCACTAGGCAATTGCCCATAATAACAATACAAGAACTGTTGGTGGCAATGTTTCCTGTTAGGTCCACGCGAGGACCCCAGGCCGGCTGAGGGCAATACAGTTGGGTAGAGTGAAACGAAGTAGTTGCTTGGTGAGTGAGAGAGTTCAGTTGCAGGATATTCGCCGGATAGTGAAGATATGAGTGCGGGAAGCTAAAGAATCTTCACTGTTAAAAGCCGATGCTACGGAATGGCTGTTGAAGACACAGCAGGCTGGAAAAAGGCTTAGCGAGTGCTGTGGTGATTTGCAAATTATGGAGATTAGAGACAGCGGTATAATTGCTGATGCTTCCCAATGGTGTGTACAAGTGGTCAGTAAATCCAATATATAATCCATACCCCGTCTATAGTCACACAAATAAATTGTGACAATAGTATAGGTTATCAAAAGTTTAAGAATGTTCAGAATTGTGGCAGCAAAGGAAACGAGTAAATTTGCAGTGGCTTCAGAATCCAAGCGAAATGAATGCAGATGATCTGAATGTAAAACGTAAAACTAGTCTAATATTAGGGACGAAGAAAACAGGAATACTAAAAAGGAATATCAGGGAGACAAAACCGATGACCTGTCCATGGGGCACAGTCCTTCTTGACAATTCCTTGTCTTTTGTGGAACGCAAGTTTCTTTATCATATTGATAAGACTCATCCAACCTTCTATCCAACGGGAACCGGAGGTTCTTTCCCCGGGATTAAAGCTGCCGGGGCTTGAAGCTGACCACTTACTTCCAGCTAGTGCCGAGGTCAAGAAAATGTGGATGTATACATCCACTCCCCCATACAATAAGTTCTGGATAAGTTCTTTGATACGACACGGACCGCATAGAAAACAACGCCTCCAACAATTGTTCTATTGTTGCGCGTGTACTCGTTGCCGCTGTAAAATTTTTACCGAGCCGTTCTCTAGCAAAGATAGGAGGATACACATACAGACAAATTAATGGGATGGATTTATGAAGTACACCGTTGAGATGGGCTCAGGTGCAATGATATACATACCAAGTTTTATTAATATTTATTCAGGCATTCCAAAGTTGATGGGGGGGGGAGGATATACAGACACACACACAACATGCTGATTTTATGAGACTATTTTTATTTTAAAAATAAATGGAAAATAGGCGAGAAATTGTCTCACAATATGATGTTGAGATACAATATTTTTAACGCTTGCGAGTAATTACTGCTTTCCGTAACCGAAACTTTTCTTAACAGTATAATAGTAACAAAAATATCGATTACAATATTAATCAACTGAAAGTAGCTTTTAAAAACTTTGATACTAAAATCTTAGTATATAAAAAGGTCCATATAGTCTTCAGCAATTTACTTTATGAGGACTACAATTCATGAAATAAAAGTTAGATTGGGCTGTATAAGGCTGCCTGTTATTCTCAGTTTATCGCTTGACGTTGCAACGACCTGAAATACTGATAACGTCGACACAAATTAGAAACAAAAGCAACAGCGCAACTGCTGCGTGTAATCCACTTCATTTCCCATTTCCTTCGCAGTTTCTTTTAAATCGTATGGATCTATGCCAAAGACGCAGAGAAGAATTTATTATGTAGTGGGTGTACGAACAGTGCACTCAAATGCCAAACCTATATTTGAAAATTGTAGAATGTCTGGAGACATTCGGTTCTTCCAGCTCTTTTACAAGCACGGTTCAACGTCAAAGTATGAGTTTCATACGAACACTCGTTCACAAACACGTAGGTACTGTGGCTCAAATCCGATTAAAATTAAAGATAAATTGGACATCATTAAACATTTACTCATTAAGTTAACTGATTAGTAAAGATGTGATTCTCATTAATAATAATATATAACATTATTACAGCCGATCATAGTGATCGTGTGGTCTAAGGCACGAAATATCTTCGCCTGCTCGAACAGTGGGATCATGGGATCGAATGCCTCTCGAGGCATGGCTGTATGCCTGCGTTTATTCTCTGTGTTATCCTCTATAGGCAGCGGCCTTGCGACGGGATGATCCCCAGAACAAGCCGACCTACCAACTGTCTGCAAGATCCACAGTTCTCAGAATAATTCTGAAACGGGAACAGGCTAGAGGGCCAAATGCATCGAAGGAAGAACATTGTTATATTAATGGCATAAGTAAAGTAAAGCTATCCCTGTAACAGACCGTGGAGGCCCATAGAGTTGTGAGATGTTGAGGCTCCCACATTTTCTAGACAGTCGGCTCACAGATGGCGGTGAGGTTGTCAGCCTTACGCGCCGGCCGCCCTTAAACCCCAGGAATATTCCTGGTAGTCATTTCTGTTAGAGGATGAGTCGACCCCAGAGCCATAGTGCGTCTGGAAGGATTAGGTCAATTGAAAAAGATCCACCTCATCGGGATTCGATCCCGCGACCTTCCGGTTTGCAGCATAGTGCCTCAACCAACTACGCTACCGCGTGCCCCCGCATTAATGGCATTGTTTTTAAATACGTCACTTCGATTTCCTTCTACGCTCGTTTGTTTCAATCGTCTGTTTCTTCTCTTTAAAGAAAATTATTAGTTTCATTAATTCGCATCAACTAAACTATTTCTTGGAATTCACACTGAAGAAGAAATCTCTTAAATTCCAGTAAGACATTTCAAAACTCACTAAAGAAGGTGTCAACAATTATTTTAGTTGTTCTTTAGAAAGTAAAATAAGAAAGCCCTACTCTGGACGTCATGTTTTTCTGTCTGTTCTCCGTGACCATACTAGCGCGTAAACCGTTGGACAGATTCTTCTAAAATTCGATATGGAATATGTTCATTGCACGTTCAATTCCAGTTCTGGTTAAAAACAGGACAAAATAGCTGACAGTCTACATGATGACCCAAATGCGTTTCCTCGGGCATTTTAAGTGTTAACTTGCGCATAACGAGCTAACTACTTATCGGAGCAAAGGGAATATTTCAAACAAAGGCAATTTTATACTTTGTCACCACAACTCGATTTTGATAAAATATTCGATTGGAAGTCCATGCATAAGTTTGTAGATGGTCATATCTGCCTCTCCGTCTGTTTGCTAATCTGTGACCTTGTATCGGGGCCTACATCGTTGGCCAGATTTCCTATTTCGAGATTCGCTGACAATAAATGTTGTCGATCGATTCCATTCTTAAGCCATGTTGTCCCTAGTACGTTCACATTACTTAAAGCCATAAATAACTTTATACATACTTCATAAATTGATAATTAGATCTTATTTCAAGCAAGATTTAGAAACTACAAAAATGT